AACGCGCCTGTGTGCTCCTTTCAGGTGTGTAGAGCGTCAGGCAGGGTGTGCTCTGTCCGGCATGCTTTACACACTTCCCTGGAACCCCTCTTAACAATATACGCTACCATCACAGGGCTTGGTTTTACCTGGTTTTAATAGCAACATTGTCTTAAGTGCTTACCCGATGACATTGTTGTTTTTTAAAGACCAGAGGGATGCAGATATTTTAACCAACATTATAAAACGTTTAGCGTAACGTCGGCAGCGAGGGTGAATTGGAATAAAAGTGAAGCCCTCGCTGTCGGTGATGCGTGACGGTCTCCCAGTTCTTCCCAGAGCTTGGCCTGGAGAACAGATGGCTTTAGGTACCTGGGGTTTTCCTCGGGAAGAACACATAGTCCAGAAAACTGGGAGACTGTCACAGAAAAATTGAGGAACTTTCCAAGTGGAAATGGCTGCTCCCTCAAATGTCTTTTAAAGTAGAGTATTGGTTTTAAACAACCTTGTAGCATCCCAACTGTGCACCGTTTAACCTGTGTAGACCCCCCTTCAGGCTTGCTAGCCCAGCTACAAAAGAAAATGGTAGATTTTTTTTGGATGTCTACACTGGGTGCCACAAGGGGTGCTGTTTTTAACCAGGGAGGAGGGGACAGGGCCTCGTCCACCTGGCCAGCCGGACAGCCACCTTCAGACTACAGTTCTTACAAAAATATCTGACAGGTCCGCTGATCTAGTGTGGAGAGATGTGGCCAGCTGCATTCTCAGACGTGCAGATTTCCTGGCTGGATGCTCTGTTTTTAATTGATTCTAAACTTTTAAAATGAAGTGGCTGCTCCGTTTTATCAGGGTGTTTTTAAGTCTTGGGCCCTTTTTAACTGTAAAAGGTGCCCAAAGTCTGACTCTCTGTACTGGTTGTTGAGAGAGCCATTGATTCACAGGGCCAAGCTGGACATCAGCAGCAGCGTCACCCCCGGCCTGACGGTGGCGCTGCTCAAAACCAAGACCCTGTGCCTGCAGCAGCTGGTGGATGCAGTGGGCCGGCGCTGCGTGATGCCGGGCCCTGGGCTCTCTTCTGGGCCTGCACTCTGTCCGGGTGGCGGGAGGCTCCTGGAGCTGTGGCGCCAGAAGCTTTCGGGGAAAGAGAGGAGCCTCCTCATGGACTATGGGAAAAGAAAGGCCAGACCGGACCCTGCAGACCCCTTCCCTGATGTCTTCCTGAGCCCGGGCCTGGGGGAGCTCACCGGCCCCCTGCTGGCTATAGCACACCCAGAAAAGCTGACAATAAACAAAGCTGACAAAAAAACCTGGTATATGAACTGTGTGAAGGCGATCCACAAGGCCGGACTGTGCAACCGCCCCCCCACTGTGTGGTCAAACAGGCTGGGAGCAAATGGAGCCGGCCCACAGTGGAGGATTTTATATAAACCTCCCCTCAAAAAACGGACTGCCGACCTCCAGTGGAGGATTTTACATGGTGCTATTGCCTCCAATGCTTTTCTTTCTGTTCTTAATCCTGCTGTTCTTAACACCTGTCCTTTTTGTTGCCTTCCAGAGACTGAATGTTTTTATAGAGTGTAAGAGGCTCACAAGCTTCTTCTCTCTTTTAACATTGGTTTTTACTTTTTTTGATGTGGTTTTTACTGAGAGGGTTTTTATTATGAGAGCTGCCTACAAAAAAGAACAAAAAGAGAAGTGGCAGCTCCTTAACTACCTTTCAGGTGAGGCAAAAATGGCCATTTACATTAGCAGAAGAAACAGAGTGGAGAACAGAGAGGGGCAGGAGGCCAAAGCAGTGTGGCTGGTAAACATTAGGGCAAGACTCTGGCTAGATTTTAGATTTCATAAACACATTGGAGACTTGGACGCTTTTAAACAGCGCTGGTGTTTTAATGACATAATTTGTTCAGTTGTTGATAAAGAATTGGTTTTTGCAAGTTTTTATTAGATAAACTATTTTTTTTTAAACATACTCAGATTTTAATGCATTAGCACTTTGTTGAACTGTAAAAACTAAATTTATGTAAATAAAGTGTTTTGCAAAAATCAAAAAAAATCTCTTTGTCTCTCTCTCTCTCTCTCTCTCTCTCTCTCTCTCTCTCAGGTGTTCACATTGTCCAGAGGATGGAAGGCTGTGAGTGGGATGATAAGACTGGTGAGGTTAATGGTTATTTTCAGTATGGTTATGATGGAGAAGACTTCATAGCTCTGGACATGAAGACATTGACGTGGGTCGCTCCACAACAACAGGCTGTCGTCACCAAACAGAAGTGGGATAAAGACAAAGCTGAGTTAGAGTATAATAAGAACTACTTCAACAATGAGTGTCTTGACTGGCTGAAGAAGTTTGTGAACTATGGGAGGAGCTCTCTGATGAGAACAGGTAGGATCAAATGACCTGATGGAGTTGAATTCTGACAATGTTCATCTTCTTCTTTTCTTGTTTATCTTGTAATTGAACAATAAATATTTCACACATGTTTCTATCACACATGCTCTGTCTTCATCTTTAAGCTTCCCCTTACCTTTCCCTTCATGTTAGATCTCTTTCTCTCTGCTGCTCATCGCTCTCTCTCAAAGTTTCTCTGTGTTTTTATTGTACTTTCTCTCTCTCCTCTTCTTCTTCTTCATCAATCCATCTGAACCCCCCTCACCTCTCTTCTTCTGTTTCTTCCCCTCTGACCCTCTCTTCTTTGAATTATACTTTAATAAGGTTGATTTTCATTGTTGACTCACTGGATTTTAAAGTCCCTTTTTTTCCCAGTACATTTAAAAAGTGTCATCAAACATGAGTTGTAACAGTATTTAAGAGTAAATCCTGATAAAGAAACTCTAATCTGTCTTCCTGTTTGTCCTCCAGACCTCCCCACAGTGTCTCTCCTCCAGAAGACTCCCTCCTCTCGAGTCACCTGCCACGCTACAGGTTTCTACCCCAACAGAGCCATGATGTTCTGGAGGAAAGATGGAGAGGAGCTTCACGAGGACGTGGACAAGGGAGAGATCCTCCCCAACCACGACGGCTCCTTCCAGATCAGCGCTGACCTTCAACTGCCCTCTGATGACTGGGGGAAGTACGACTGTGTGTTTCAGCTCTCTGGTGTGAAGGAGGACATCGTCACCAAACTGGACAAACGAGAGATCAAGACCAACTACGGTAAGACCTCGATGAGAAGTGATGAAAGAGAGGATTTGACTGTAACAGTCGTGTGATGGAGGGAAAGTTTAGTTGTGACTTTTTCTTTCTTTCAAACTCTTCAAATTGTAAAAGTATTCAGAAAAAGAGTTTAAAGGTTTGGATCAGGATGAAACAAACACAAAGATCTTTAAAGAGATTATTAATGGACAGAATCGTTTTGTTTTTTACCGTCTGTCCGCTCGTTACCACAGTGCAGCCGCATTAACCTTTAAATTACTTTAAATCAATAATATTGAGAAAAAAGGGTTTGAATGTAATCGTTAGCGGTTACCATTGTGCCACAATCAAACATGGAAATAAAAGACATAAAGGTGAAGGGAAAAAACAACTACATGTAGAAAATGAATCAAAGGTACAGTGATGAAGACGAGCTAACTGACAGAAGGAGAAACTTTGTCTTTAATGAACCTTTAACCTGTTTGATCACAGGTTGTGTGACTGTGTGTTGTTTGTGTTCAACAGTGAATCCCATCTACATGATCATTGTCATCATCGCTGTTGTTCTCCTTCTTGTAACCATCGTCTGTGTGGCTGGATTCTGCCTGTATAAGAAGAGAAATGGTGAGAGAGCAAAGTGGAAACATTCAAACATGTTTTTTATATTTACATCTGGTGAATAGTTCTCTTGAGGGGACCTTAAATAACCTTCAATGAAATAAATCTAGAACAATCTTTTTTTTTCTGTTTCAGCCAAACGCCCTCCATCCCGTAAGTAGAACTTGATTTTATTGTATTAAGTTTGACCTTAAATGAACTCTGTAAATGAAAAAGGGTTTCTGGAGTGTTTTCTGGTGTAAATGATGGTTTCAGAGTCGGATGTGTGCTAACATTGTGTTTCTGATCTTACAGCGGTAAACGACCCGGCTGTGCAACAAATGATGCTTCCAAATCAAAATACCTGAAAGACAAAGAGAGGACCCTGAACCCAGTGAGTTACATGAAATAAGCCTTTAATTCAGGATATAGTCATTGTTCTGGTGGTGTGTGTGGTAAGTCAGGAAGACACTGCATGTAAACATTACTTCTGCTGCTGCGTCACCTGGACAGAGGCGGTAACCACAGCTACAGGCAGAGAGAAAAGAGAGTCACAGGTGAATGGGGAAGAGGAATCAGGAATCAGAGGAAGACACACAGTTTTTAAACCGTGTGTGTGTGTGAACGTGTTTTTGAGTCCTGTCATGTTTATTATCATGTTTTCATATACGAGCTTATTCTTTTCTTTTTGGTTGTTACAGTAATTCTTTAAATCTGATTATAAAACTGCATAAAGGAGATCGTTTCTTTGTTATTGTAAAAAAGTTGATGACTCATTTTAGTGAAAAAGTGTATTTGAAGTGAAGGGAGATGATTTAAAGAAAGGTGCTTCAATGATGAAATCACCGTGACCTTTGACCTTGATGTTAAAACCTGGATTTGTGGATAAATTCTGTAAAAAAAGTGATGATAAATATTTTTTAATGTCATGTTTTCTCTTTCTTCTGTCTTTTTCTCTAAAGGTTTACGGGTACGTTCTGCACTGAAACAAGGAGCAGACCGACACGCTCTCCTCAGAATTCATTGGCTCTCATCGTATCAGACATGAAGTGATCAGAGTTGGGAATTTAAATTTAAATCTTTGAAATACAAAGAAAACAAGTTTGAAAAAGAGTTGACAAATGCTTTACAAATCTTGATGATTTATTTTTTGTCACCTGGAGAGAAGAGAATCAGAAGATGAATCTATGACGGCATCACGCCGCTCTTCATGTGTTGAAGAAAGATTTGTGTGTTGATCTAAAATCCATCATAGTTGGATTTTTCTACTTCTGGTGTTCAGAGCTTTGTGCTAAAACAAATGTTGGTGATAAATACGTTAATAAAGACACACACACACACACACACACACACACACACACACACACACACACACAATACAAACATTAAACATTTTGTTTTCCAGTTGTGTAAATAGTTTCGCTTATTTATTTTTTTAAGATTTCTTTTTGGCCTTTTGGTACCTTTACTGTAGAGATAGGACAGAGGATAGAGTCTGAAATCAGGGAGAGAGAGAGAGCGGGGAATGACGTGCAGGAAAGGAGCCACAGGTCGGATTTGAACCTGGTCCGCCCGCTTGTAGGACCATAGCCTCCATTCACCAGCTCCTCAGTACTGTTTATTTCTGCATAAGTAATGAAGTGTGTTGATTTAAACGAGGCTCAAGAGATTTATAATGTTTGTGTTTTAAGGTTTTTCATTAGTAATCAGGACTATGTTGTTTTTTCTTCTGTGATATATATTTTTATATTAAGTTTAAATGCTTCAGCTGATCACACATTGATGTGATGAAAAGAAAAGTTGTTAGTTTTATTTGAGTTAAGATCTTGAATGGTTGGTGGGATGTTGAATGTTTCTCTGTGAAGCTGTCTGTAAATATAGATTTAGTGTTTCAATAAAGCCTTTAAACATTCAAAGTGTGTGTCTTCTTGTGATTTCACATAAAGTGTCTGAATAAATGAGGAGCAGATTTCCAGATATGAAGACCTGTGTGTGTTTTCCATAAATGATAATAAAAGATATTGCTGCAGATTTTCTTTCAGTCTTTTTCTGTTGTTAAAAACTTGTTTTCCCTGCCAAACATTAAAAACATGTTGGTCTCTGATATGAAGCTCTGGTGTAAGTTCAGTCAGGAAGACTTTATATTTGCCTTCACGATCGGGTCTTTCTCTCATTCTTCCCTTTTTGCACGCTCGCTCACGTTTCCCCTGTTATTCTCCAGCTGTCATTGGATAATCAGCTGTCTCGTCAGCGGTACTCATCTAACCAATGGCATGGCGTTCCTCCTTCATTGTCAGCCTATCATCGTTCTGCTCTCTTTTAAATGTGATTCTTTCTCTGCCTTTAGTTCCTTCATGTTGATGTTTCGTGCGCCCCTCCACCTCCCCATCACCGCCCGTTTTCACAGAATCATCATCCATCAATCTTCACCCATCCGGTCTCATCATGTCCTCAGCTTCAGCACCACCAGGGTCTGGACTCCATCAGGGGATTTATTCTGTCAACACTCAGAATTGTTATTCTTCAAACATCAATCACCCCCATAGAGTCCAAGCTCCAAAGTATTTCTGTCAAGTCACATTTCCATCTTATCCATTATAATAAATCATTTTTTTCTTAATTCACTCGTCTCTCCTGATTTAAATTCGACTACCTATCCAAAAATATCACTCCAGAGGCAGAGCACAACATCGACAGCTGTTCTTCAGAGATCTAATCAGCATCAAAACTATCCTAAATATCTTCATCATCATTATCAAACAAAACCATCATCATCAATAATATCATTAAGGTGGTAGGTGGTCATAAAGAGCTGGGTCTTTAGCTTTTTCTTAAAGGTGCAGAGGGACTCTGCAGATCGAATGGAGTTTAGTTCCTTTCACCAGTAGGGGGCGACAGAGGAGAAGAGTCTAGTTAATGAACTAAAGCACAGAAACAGGAAGTGGTTGTGGATCATAAACTGATGTCAAAAGGCTCAAAGGAACGGTAACAAAGGTCAATGTGTGTTGTTGAAAAGGTTTTTTTTATTTTTTTTATGTCAGTGACCGGAAGTACTTTTACTCTGTGGGGCTCCGCCCTTTACATTTACAGTCTAGGGGGCTCTGGGCTTCACAAGTTTAGGGATTCATAATATTTACAGTCTATGATTCATACCAATCAGTCAGTCATCAGTGATCTGTCGATAAGCACAAGAGAGCACAGATGTTGAGGAGTCCATTCTTTTGTTTTAACTGGTTTAACTGGTTTAACTGGTAAGAACTGGAAAAAGATTAACCAAGATAGATCAATCACAAACATTATCTAGTAATCTAAAAACTTCTCCAAATCTGCTGCTGAATTAACACAGAGAATAACTCATAAACTATTTATATTTTTATATATTTATACATAATATAATATATTTATTCACATATTTTGAAGAAAAGTAAAGAAAACTTTAAACGATATGATAAATTATATGATATTAAAGGTTCAATGAAAACAAATGGAGGTTATGTAATATATAAAAGGTCAAATAAAATAAATAGATGTAAAATAATATATAAAACCAAGTTTAACAATAAGAAAAACGGTGTTTTGTCTTGACTCGACTTCAGTGCAGTAACGTCCTGTGGCCACATGAGGGCGGTGTTGTTTTAACGGCTCACTCAGCAACATTCAATCAACTGTAAAACTCATACAGAACAGCAAACGAGTGCTTCCGGTCAACGGTTTGTAAAAAGAGCTTTCTTCTAACTAACATGAATGTATAACGTTGATCTTTTTAACAACTTTAACAGAACAAATAAACTAACAAGAACACAATGAAACTTTACAAACTTTCGCTCTCCCAGTCACAACAAAAACAGAAATAAAACGATGTGTTCTGTTTGATTGTGTTGTTGTAGTTTTCTATGTGTCCACTAGAGGGAGCGCAGTGTCTCTAACAGTCTACGGTCAGTCCTCATGGACTTATGACTTGAGCTGAAGGTACTATAATCTTAATAGTTTAAATTAACTGAAAATGATCAATCAGACCATAAAGTATATTTAATAATATAACAATATGTATTTGGTGTGAGCTGATATTCTAGTTATTTCATGTCATTACATAGTCAAAATATGTCCTTATGTCTTTTCAATTGGCACACACATTGTCTCTCTTCTTGTTTAATGTCATTATGTGGCTACAATAAAACAAAAGTCACTCAAATTATTCGTCAGTTAACTTGAACTGAACATTTAGCTGTAACGTGTCTTTCACTTAAAACCCAGAGACTAAACTCTGCTGTATTTTCCTGCACAACATGAGAGAACTGTGTGTCAACCACTCAACTGAGCCAAGTAGCCGACTGATTCTGTTGCTTAGTAACTTCTGACTTTGCCTCGTCTGATATTTCACTGTGTTAATCCTAAAAAAGGATTTCATTGCAAGAAAGCAAGTTAAAATCTTACTGCAGGAATGTGAGACAAAGTGAACTGACAATGTGACACATATTTGCAGTGTATATAACGCACACTGCACTCCTTGTGCCTGGACTTGTTAAAGTACAATCTATAAATAACAAAACAAAAACATCCTGTCAGTCAGTGAAGAGATGAACATGTCTCAGTTTATTTATGTACAGAAATTCAGATGAAAAGAAGGAGTCAAGTACAGAGGCATTTATATTTCTGAGAACTTCAGAAAAATAAGACTGACAACTCTAAGTATGTTTGTTTAAAAAACAGAAACTGACAGAAACATTTTTGAAGAACAGAAAAAGCTGCTCTAAAAGTTAAAGAAAAACAAAATCCTGCTCCAAGATTGAGCCTGTAAAATATGTTCCTGACAGTTACTGTTAGGTGGGGGTTATTTCTGTAGTAGATGGACAATTATGAAAACGTGAAACAGACTGTGGATCATCTTAGATTTATTCAGCCATGGTCAGACAACACAGAAACACAACACACATGGCTGACAAAGTGCAGACCATCGCTGACCCATGCTGACCAAGATCTCACAATCATTGACAATCATTGGCAAAATGGCAAAATGGACCAAAGTCTTCATCACACAGTGTGGCTTATATTCTGCTAGAAGGTACAGCCAACAAATTCCTTTCCATTTGGGTGCATCACTATAAAACAATAAAGATGACATGACACTGATTTGTATACGTATCAGATGTAGACTCTCTGTCTACCAAACAGTTGTTGACAACATATAGTTGGCTCCTATCCAAACACAGATCTGCTACAATTTACATGTTTCATCATATAAGGTTACAGCTTCACAGACCCAAAAGTAGAATTACTGTGAGATGGTTGACAGAATTTAAAGATATGTCCACAAAATTATCAAGATGAATGAATCCATGAAAATACGTACTAACAGTTCCCGTTTTTAATATTTAGCTTTATTTTTCTTTAAAGGGAGAAAAGTTTGAACATGATTTTAATTTCTCTTTGAGGTGTTTACCAATTACCTTCTTTAAGTACATGGCCTCTGAGTTTCACCCATGATAGACAATAACATCGTTTTAACACTGTCACATAACATCAAAATGTTTTAGGAGTGGTTAGAAAACATATGTAAAGATCACAGGTCACATACAAGATACAAAACTTAACAGAAAAGGTAGAAAACCTTTAATGTTCTATTTGGGAACTCAGATCATGTTCAGTGTCAAAGAATGAAATCTAAAGATAACGTCAGTGGTGAATTTACAGAACATTTGAAAACAAGATGTTTAAATCATCAAAACTTATATGTATTTATGATATCTAAAACATTCTTTAATCAACAAAATAAATACTTTATACATCCGCACTTTTTAATTCATCTTATTTTTATGTTTTTTATTTTTTTATTATTTTTTTTTACAACAATAGATAAATATTTAAGCAGATATGTATTTAGAAAGATAATCAATAGAAAGGAAGCAATGATTCAGGGTGCTCCGAAATAACAACAAAATCTCTGCTAACTAGAAATGAAAGAAATCTCACTGATGTTTAAAATAAACACAAATCTGACCTTCCTGTCTACCAAAAAACAGGAGGAAAAATGTTTGATTCAAACAAAAAAAATTGAGAAAGCTTTAAGATTCTATGGAAAATGTGGTAGTACTTATACCGTCTAGGCAGGCATGTGCAAACTGTGGCCCGCGGGCCATATACGGCCCGTTGGGCTTTTTAATCCGGCCCGCCGAACTTGTCCAAATTATATTATTATTAAATTAAATGTTATTATAATTAAACCTCGTTTGTTTTCCCTGTAATGCCTGCGTTTCCCCAATAGATGGCGCACTTCAGAGTGTGGTGTATTACTCCTTAAGAACGGATGAACCCTTCTGTACAAATGAGCGGGCCAAAGAAAAGAAAAGTGGACAGTGAGTGCGAGTGTTTAATACGG